TCTCTGACAAGGGTGAAAGTGGTCGTGGAGAGTCTTCCTCATTTCGGTATAGTAGAACTAAACTGCTAGATGTGTACAGGATGACTGATATGAATATTTGTCAAAAATTCGTAGATGGACTTGTCCAGGTGCCCTCCCTTATGCAGGAGGAACCATCAGAACCTCTGGCACTTTGTACTCCTAATTCCGAGGAAATGGTAATTTTTATTTGCTACTAATGTTTTTAATCTTGTTTGTTATTTTCGCAATTCATTTTACAAGTTCTTTTAAACAGGTTGTCTTGAAGGGAATTGACAAAGGGGATATAGTTAGTAGTGGTGCACCTCAGATGACTAAGGACGGGTCTGCTGGTCGAAATTCAATGGATTATATGCAATCAAGACGAAACAAGCTTGGTATGCCACTTGACAGAGACATTATTTTGTATTCTCTTGCCAATGCAATATAAGAGGTAACATCTTATAATTGGTTTATTGTAGCGGGCAGTAGAGAAGATTTATTGCATTCTGCAGATGATTATAAAGAAGAGAGTGTTGACAATTCGAAGGCATATCTCGATAACAAGTTCACAGTGGAAGGTATGGATATAGACAGAGCAGAGTTGCTTAAAAATCAGCATATGCATGTAAATTCAGTAGCATATATCTGCAAAAATAGGGAGTTGAGCCTTTTCTCGCTTAGGAGAGAGATGAGTAACTAGCTATGTGGGTTAGGCTTTTGCCCTTCACTTGCCTGTAACTGTCTTATGTTTTGGTAAGAATTTTTGTCTGATGTTGGAAGCCAGTGATAATTACTGGATTTGGATGTGCTTTTTAGCAAATTACCAGTTGACCTCAAATATTTCTGCTATCAGGAATATATATCAACTCTACTCTCTTAATTGTAATATATATTTTCCCAGAAAGTTCTTTATGATTTTGAAAAGGAGGCAGTATCTCAGAAATCTCCCCAATAAGCCTCTGGGATTAGTTTTGATGGAAGAAAGTTAAAAAGGTTTTCAAGGAGGAAATTCATACCTTTGATGATTACGCACATCTGTAGATTCTTTGTTCAGGATACTGAGCTTTAGTTTTTGATGAATCGGATGTCTTCAGTTGAAGGGGCGTGTAGATTTGTTTGATTTCATTTGAACTCTACAATAATTCTTTTGTTTACGTTATTGTGCTTTTCATGATTTTCAATTTTTAATTTTTATTTGCAGCTTTTCGAGAAGATAGTGCTCTTTCAAGGAAAGCTGATGAAATTCCGAACAACCGTGAATTGAACATGCAGGGAAGCAACTCTATACATCCTGGCTCTACATGGCGATCTTCATCACTGGGAGATAGGTCGAGCTCGCATTCACATGACTGGAGGGATATTCCAGGTGATACCAAACCAAGAAACCCTGATATGGGATGGTCACAGCCATCCAAGGATTCCACTAACAAATGGGAGAGTAATTTGGCAAATTCATCATTACCCAAGGATGAACTTAAGTGGAATACAACTGAGGACCCCATTTTAAAAAGGCAGCCATCTCTTGTACCGGACAGGGAACAGGAAGCTGCAAAGCTTTCACAACCTTCACCGGAGGAGCTTTCCCTTTATTATAAAGACCCTCAAGGTCAAATTCAGGGCCCTTTTAGTGGAAGTGATATTATTGGATGGTTTGAGGCCGGGTATTTTGGCATCGATTTGCCAGTTCGGCTTTCAAGTTTATCAAACGACTCCCCATATTCATTACTAGGTGATGTCATGCCCCATTTACGAGCAAAAGCTGGTCCACCACCTGGTTTTGGTGGACCGAAACAAGCTGAATTGGTTGAGACAGCTAGTAGGGCAAACTTCAGTAGTGTTGGAAAAATGCATCCTGGTGGAAGTGAGATTGATATGAGGAGGGGCGACCAAAGGCATAAACATGGGTCGACAACGGAAGCTGAAAATAGGTTTTTGGAATCACTGATGTCTGGCGGTATGAATAATCCACCACAAGGTTGGTGTTATTCTGTGCTCAAGCCTACTAAAGTTTCTTGCTTTTTCTATTAACTATTGTTACATGGAAACTTACTGGGTTTTCATTGGCATGATTGTTTGTTAGGTATGCAAGGATATATGGGAAATAACTCCAGTAGCACACCCTTGCCTGGAATAGACAGTGGAAATGACATGTATATCTTGGCTAAGAAAATGGCACTTGAGCGACAGAGGTCTCTACCTAATCCATATTCGTATTGGCCTGGGAGAGATTCTACATCCATGCTTCCTAAATCAGAGGTTATCTCTGAGACCACAACACCGCATGCAAAACTCCTATCTGCAATTGCTGAAAATCCTCGCCTGCTTGCGCATCCTCAAGGTGCCGATTTGTTATCCGTCATCCAAGGTATAGCAGACAGGCCTGCTTCAGCTCTAAACAATGGTGTTCCTGCTTGGTCAAATTTCCCTTCCCAAGGAGGTTTAGAACCACTGCAGGATAAGATTGATTTGCATCAGGCTCAGAACTTTGCGACCCAAACTTCCTTTGGGATTCAACAACAGAGGTTGACTGCACAGAGTCCTCCTTTAACAAGTTTACTTGGCCAAGCTATTGACAACAATCCTGCCAGTGTTTTAACGCCGGAAAAATTGGTATCCTCTGCGTTATCTCAAGATCTACAATCACTAAGTATTCTACAACAGCAGCTCTTATTGCAACTACATTCCCAACCGTCTCTTACAACACAACAGCAGCTGCTACTTTTGGATAAGGTTTTATTACTAAAGCAGCAGCAGAAACAGGAGGAGCAGCAACAGTTATTGCGGCAACAACAATTGCTTTCTCAAGTTTTATCAGAGCATCATTCTCACCAACGCCTTAACGAGCTACCTTATGGACAATTACAGGCTACTGCAGTGTCTACAGGCAATGCAACTGTAGATCCTAGACTTCAGCCACCACAAGAAATGTTTCAGATTGGTAAACAAATACCAGTTCCCAGTATTCAAGATGAGCGAAGTGCCAATTTTGTGAGTTTGCCCCATGTTACCCAGGATGTTAGTTACAGTGTTAGTTCTGAAGCTTCCTCTTCATATCTGCCACATAACATGTTTGGGAATATCAATCGTCAGCCTAGCTGGGAAACTACGCTACCGGAGAAGATTGATGATATCAATCAGGAGTCTTTCCCAGCTTCAATGATTACTCAAAGCATGCCTTCAGTTGAGGTTATGAGCAAAATTTCAGAGGAGTCTTCTCTGTCACAAAAACATGCTATTGTTACAGATTTCCAAGCACCCGTGAGCCTGGAGCAGAAGTCAGAGGTAACATGGAAGACTGACAAAAATATCATGGTTGAACAATCAGTTGGTGCTTCCAATTCAGTAACTTCTGAGGTTCCAAAAATTTCTGCTTCAGGATTAAACCCTGAAATATGTAAGGATGAAGTATCCATGTGTGATGTTGCTAATGATGTGAAAGTTAAACCAGAAATTTCTGTTGTTAAAAATGTTGAGAGGGAGACGAACAAGGAGCCTTCTACTATGATACCCGCAACAGAAGTAAAAAATGTCGAAGTGCGAGAAGTACGGAAAACTTCTGAGAAGAAGTCCAGGAAGCAAAAATCTAACAAGCAATCTTCTGAGCAGCCTAAAAGTTTATCAAAAACCTCCTCCCTGCAGCAACCAAAGCAGTCTGAGACAGA